TGCCGTTGCTATCTCGTCTGCCATTTCCTCGGTTCTTGTGCCTTTAATAGTATTCTTTCCTGTCTTCCAGTGGGGTTGCAGAGATGAGAACAAAACCCCGCTCTGTGCAATACACAAAAGGTTGACTGCCCTATATATGCTGCAACTATTTTCTTCCTGTTTGACCCTTGTCTTTTGCCCCTGTTTATGGTTTCCCTGCAGCTGAAGTTTCCCTGATGTTTATGTAGACAAATCTGTTGATCTGTCTACTGGATTTGAAATCTTGCAAGAGAAGACCTTAGTCATCAGTGTTTTCTAGTTACTTCTCTTTTATGGTTTTGAGGCACCCTCTGGCCATCACTTGTTCTTAATAAAGAAAGGCATAAGTTTGCAAAGCGACCTGTCCCTTGCCTGAAAAGCTTTGTTCCACCTGGCAGTGGGCCCCAGTAATTCCTGGGTTCTCCCTGCTCAGAAATGCAAGGCCAGCTTTCCAGGGCAGGACACCTGTCGAGTCTTTACCACAAGGGCACCCATCCCCAGATCACTACATGCTCCTGCCTCTTGGGCACAGTCGCCTCCTCCAAGTGCGTGCCATCAGCCTGGTTATTCAAGGCCATGTTCCCTCAGGGTGCAGCTCTGTAGAGGAGCGAAGCAGACCCCAGACACACTCAGACAGGGCTTGGCTTGATGCCATTTGTAAGCGGTGACTGATATAAATTCAGAGCTTTGGATCAGATAAAACTTTGATAAATGGCTTCTGAGTGTGCTGGTAGCAATACCTACTCCTGTCCATTCTGAGCCACCTGCTCCAATCAGCTTCGTTTTGTTTAATCAACAGCACAGGCAACAATGCTTGAAAGCCGTCACGCCTGTGAGAGATGGTGGAGATAGTCCCTCCTGAAGGGTACCGAGAGACAGAAAAGTACAAAAACTCCCAGCTCTATTCAGAAGCCCCATGCCTGGGCTAACACAGTGCATCTTCTTCTCTCATGAATGTTTGAGTAGGGACAAAGGTGGCACCATCAAGTAGACCCTAGAGGCCCCTGGGCCTGTACACAGATGCTGAGTGTCATCCAGACCAGCCCCTTCATTGGGCACGCCTCACCTGGCCTTTGGCCACCCGTACCTGTAGCAAGCGGCACTCCAGCCCGGGCCTCTCTCAGAAGGAGACAAGCCCACCACTCTCCCTGATGCCATCACCTCCCCCACAGTGTCAGGCTCACAAAACCCACTCCCCACCCCTCCGACCGTGCATCAGAATCATCTAGATAAAGAAGTGGTGTCAGCCGAGCAGAGAGGCGAGCAGATGGGGCCTATTCACGAAAGGGAAAGCATTTGAAAGACCAGAACCTTCCCTCACACTGCAGGTGCACTAATCAGTCCCGTCTAAGCCACTCAACCGTGCAGGGCCGTTCCATGCTTGCAGCACCCACAAACGACTGTCCCCTACCCAAGTCCCACAGCCTAGGAGGCTCATCTCATGAGCCCTGGTCACGACCACCCACAGGAATGGAGGAAAGGCCAGCTTCCCAGGAGAAAGGCTGTGTGAAGAGATGAGACGTGTAGAGCCATGCCGCCCTTTCCTACTGGCCCCACAGAAAGAGCGAATACATAAACTCAGCGCAACTCGGGCCTGGGCTTGAAAACTCTATGAATCTGTTGCTTCTTTTGTAAATGAGGAGAGAACAGCCCAGGCTAGAGAGACAGCACACTCATTCTCAAGCCCAGTTCTGCCACTGACTTGCTGGGCGACTTTGAGCAAGTTAGTATACTTCTCTGAGCTTGGTTCCTTGTTTGTAAAAATGAGGATTTACATCTCAAGGTGTATTCATTTACTTAGTTATTCAGGACATAATTATTCAACTTGTACTGAGCTTCAGGCAGTGTTCTAGATGCTGGCGGGCATGGTGAACAAATGAACTATGTAGGGTACAGCACAGCATATAGGTGCTAAGTCAGTAATGACTGTTATTGCTCTTACTATTGCTAGTGAGTTTTGTCATGAGAAGCAACTGGAATTAAAGTATGCTAGTGTATTTTATACATATAAAGCTCTGCCGGGTTCGATGACTCAGCCTGTAATTCCACACCTTTGGGAGGCCGAGGTGAGTGGATGGCCTGAGCCCACGGGTTCGAGACCTGCCTGGGCAGCGAGACCTCATCTCTACAATAAATCAAAAAATCAGCCGGATGTGGTAGCGCGCGCCTGTAATTCCAGCTACTCGGAAGGCTGAGGCGGAAGGATCGCCGGAGCCCAGCAGGTCGAGGCTGCGGGGCCAGGAGCGGCAACTGCACTCCAGTCTGGGCGACAGAGTGAGACTCCAACTCGAAAAATAAATAAATAATAAATAAATAAATCTAAAGCTCTTTGCAACATGAGCCAATATGACTTCTTCCACGCGTCATACGCTGAGAGAGAACCAGTTGGCTGCCCTCGTCCCCTTTCAGTGTTGTCAGAGAGCAGTCACCAGCTCTCGCCACGCCTCCTGTCTCACATGCACAGCTACCTTAGAAGTCATGCGCCGAACAGGCTGTGGGGGACATCAGCCTTTGTCTCCCTTCAAGTTGCTTCTTTTGCTGTGTGTTTCTCTGTCCATTGCAACTTTAAGCATAAATACTAGATTTTAAAATTATACATATTTGTGTGTATACGCATGTATGTAGATAGATATATAGATGATGGATTGATAGATGATAGACTTTGCTGGTGATTGATCACCCATCTATCTATTGATCAATAGATCAATAGATAGATGGGTGATAGAGAAAAAGACAGATAGATGATAGTTATCTAATAGATAGATGATAGATAAATGATCAATAGATCGGTAATAGACCGATAGGTAAATGACAGAAAGATAGATAGATAGATAGATAGATAGATGTGAATGGATCCATGATTGCCTATCTACAATAAAGGCTTAAGGAAAGCCCCCAGAGGGTTGGGTCTTCTACAAAACTAAGTTCAACCAGTCCTGCCTCTGAGGACAAGGAGAAGATGGCAACCCCAGCAGGCCATCAGGCTACACTAGCCAAATCCTAGATAGGCAGAGTCCGCAAAATCACATTTGGGCTGGAGCCACTGTGAATGACTTAGGAACCTACTTGCTTAAGTGGTCAGTTCTCTCTTTGGAGAGACAAGTCATGCTTATGGGCTCCTGTCCATGCATGAACCATGACTGAGACCACAAAGCTATGCATGTGACCAAGAGAGAGTGAGCCTGTGTTCTTGCAGAAGGTCAAAGGTCAAGTGTATGCCTAGCCCTGGAGCAACACCAAAACTCACCACTGCTCATCCCAGCTGCCGTGGCCAGCAGGGCACTGCAGTGCATCCTCCTGCTCCAGCACCGTGGCTCTCTGGGCCCCTCCAGTGCCCTTCCAGCATCCACAAACTAGCCAACGTCAGAGATATCCGGGAAGCTTCCAGGGACCGCAGTCTTTCTTGAAGGTGGCAGAGGGAACTCAACCTTCACCCCACCCTGAGTCACAAAGGTAAAATCAGGATGGAAATCAAAGGACCCATTTTTGTACTTAATTTCCGTTGATTAAAAAAATATGTAAATGCAAAGATGTTGACACGATTAAGCCATTATGGTCTATTGTGCAATTATTTCTTTGATAGTTCATGACGGCTCAATTGGAGGCATAATGGACTATTATGCAATGACATCTTTGCTGAGTTTTCTGCTTGTTTTCCTCTTTTCCTTAATTTTCTTTCCTTCATCTTTCCTCCTTTAAAAAAAAGAGAGAAAATTTTTCATTTGCAGATCATTGACTTTTTAATGTCAGATTATTTACTCAATAGTCAATAACGATGCCTTCAGATTCATTATGGGCTATCGTGTAAATAGCTAATTGCATTAATTACAGCCTTTTTACAAATGTTTAGTTTGCAGCTCATCACACCCATGGACTGTGTAATTGCTGCTCTCGGGGCTGATGGGCAGGCACAGCCCTGGGTGTCTGCTTGGTGACAGGGGGACGTCTGTTGCCTTTGTTCCAACCTGACCAAGTTCTAGCCACTAACCACATCTGTGCATACATGTGTGCGTTTGTGTGCATGCGTGTGCATATCCAGAGAGGAGCTATGATGTGTACATTTGTCCATTATCTCACTTTATATTTATACAATGAGGAATGATTATTCCTGTGCAACGAAAAACGGTACAGTAAAAAAATCATGCTAATTTAAAAGAGGGGGAAGTCTGTGACCTGGAAAGACAAACTTATTAAGACATATGTGTTCCATGGGGCATTTTTCTTTTGTAGAATGTAGCTAGTGACTTCTAGAATGGATGCAGATCCTGGAGTGTGTACCGGACGAATCTCCTAGGAACTGGCCATCATATACTCGTGAGGCTCATTGTGGCCTTGTAAACAAGGCTTTGTGTTCATGAACTGAAATTCCTGCGGACATGGAGTCTTTTTCAGTGCCTTCCCAGGACCATATTTTGCATATCCATTTGAGGTGAACTGAGACACAAGATGGACAAGGGCCACACTGAGTCAGCTGGTGTTCACTTGTGGTCCTTGGAGCAAGGTGACTCTTCCCACTCTTGATGACCTCCCCAAGTTCCCTCAACTGCCTGTTCCCTGAGCCCCAGGTTCACCACCGCATCTTCTTTCACTGTCCCGTATGGTTTCCTTTCCTTCTTGCACTTTCCCCCAGCACCATTTCCCACCCTTTGCTGCTTATCTTAGACAGTCCCTGGCCAATCTGTCAGTCAAGATAAATTGCTTTGCATGTCAGGGTGCAGCAGTACCTTTAGAACTGGGAAAAAATGTACCTATCAGTGATCAGATCTAGTTGGTATTTGGGTAAGGGGACAGGGCACAGGGAAGTGGTCCTCTTTCCCAAAACAGCAAGGCCTTCATCCACAACTACAGCTAGCCTCACAATACACTAGGCCCGAGGCTATCCACTCAACAACCCTGCCCAGTACAGAACCTAGAAGAGAACCATGATCCATCCACATAAACCGTGTCATCCAAAGACAGCACCCATCAATCACTGGACACTGTAGCTTGTACCAATTTTATTGTAGACCTTCTGAAATTTCACTTAACTGGACATCGTGAAAAGGGGTACAAAATTTAAAAGGTTTCCTGAACATTCCAAAGACAAATAATTATCTTTCTGCATCCAAACAAAAAGTCAGTGTTGGGGACGTATACAACACGTCAGCTTCTGGGTTGACTCCAGGCCAGTGGTGATCCCTTCTGGTTCCTCTCCCTTCTATGTCCATGTCCATCTGTCTTAGACAGTCATGTCTGGCTCCTCAAATGCGGGCAGTAACCTCTTCCATCGACACAACCCCTCATGTGGACTCTCCTGTGCCCTGGAGCAGGAAAGCAAATGCAGACATCAAAAGGCATGACCCCAAATTTAAAGTCAGAAACACTAGAAAACATGACTACCAGAAACCCCAGCCCTCAGCCATGCTGGGAGCTAACTTTCATCAAGGATGTAGGGAAAACCCCTCAGCTGTTCTCCAAACGAAGGCACGGGGCCCCTGTGTGGCTCGTACAGAGGTGACTCTTTCCACTTGATCTGTGGTGACCAAGTGCTGAAGGTCCTAAAGCCTCTGCAGCTCCACCTCCTGGGACTTGAACTTGGTGAGCTGGTGACATGACACATCCATGCCTCCCACTGGTCGCATGCACATTCCTCCACCTTCAGAATGCTTTCCTCTTCTAACTGATGACTTTTCAAATATCATGGTCAGTAATCATTCCAAAATAATTTTAAGGGCAAAAGAAAATAAATATGTTTGACCTAGGAGAAAAAAGAGAGTCAAGGGACTAGTTTATATGAAGTTATGGCATTTATCGTTCAACTAAAAAAGAATCTGAGACTTTAACATAATAAAGCCTTTTACGCATTCCACGGCCTTCTTTTTTTTAACATAAGGCCTAAATGGCACATCTCTCATATCTAGCCCCAGTAGGTGCAGAAATCTATTCAGATGGTTCCACTACACGTGAGAGAATTAGAGAAAAGAGAGAGAGGATGCTTACTAACTGGAAAAATTCGTTGCATTTCTGAGACTTGGTTGCGTGTGTCAGAAACCAATGTCAACAGAGTTTAAGGCAAATGGATTGATCAAGAATACCCTCCCAGGGCCTCCTAGAACCAAACAGAGCAGTGGACTGGGCCTTGGAACCCTGGGAGCCTGAGCATTCAGGGTCCTCACTTTCTCTTATCCCTGCTTTCCTCCTCTACTTCCTGCCGAGGGAAGTACTGTGGCTGCCAAAGACCAAGATTCTACCATTGAAAGAAAGTCTCGCTGGATCCCAGATACAAATAGTTCTAATTGTGAATTACCCACTCCTAGACTTATCAATGCTGCCCAAGAAATCACTAGAATCATAGCTAATCACCCAGGACCATTTTAGTACAGTGCGAGGGAAAGATGGAGTAGATTCTTTTTTTTTTTTTTTTTTTTTTTTTGAGTTGGAGTCTCACTCTGTCACCCAGACGGGAGTGCAGTGGCCGCTCCAGGCCACCGCAGCCTCGACCAGCTGGGCTCCGGTGATCCTTCCGCCTCAACCTTCCAAGTAGCCGGAATTACAGGCATGCACTACCACGCCCGGCTGATTTTTTTATTTATTGTAGAGATGAGGTCTCACTGCCCAGGTGGGTCTTGAACCCGCGGGCTCAGGCAATCCACTCACCTCAGCCTCCCAAAGGCGCGGGATTACAGACTGAGCCACTGAGCCCGGCTCATATCATGCTTTTGAGTCCTTTGATACTTAACAAACTTTTCCACCTGTAAATTTCAGCTTTTTTTTTTTTTTTTTTTTTTGAGTTGGAGTCTCACTCTGTCGCCCAAACTGGAGTGCAGTGGCCGCTCCTGGCCACCGCAGCCTCACCTGCTGGGCTCCGGCGATCCTCCCGCCTCAGCCTTCCAAGTAACCGGAATTACAGGCACGCGCTACCACGCCCAGCTGATTTTTTGATTTATTGTAAAAATGAGGTCTCGCTGCCCAGGCGGGTCTCGAACCCGCGGGCTCAGGCCATCCACTCACCTCAGCCTCCCAAAGGCGCGGGATGACAGGCTGAGAGTAGATTCTAACAGAAGAGGGAGAAAAGGTGTGGTGAGCAAAGAAAACAAAGGTATTCTCTGAGTGTAATCTCCCCAGTAGTAATCATAACCGTCTTTCAATTATCCGTGACTGGATTGATTAGCAGGAATGGGGACAACCTAAGGCAGGGTTGCAAACAATCAGAACACCTTTACCAAGTCCTTGCAACATGGGTCAGTAGAACAGAAAGGAAAGACATGGCCCCTGGCCTCATGCAGCTTGGAGTCTCAAGGCAGAAGAAGCAAGACTACTGAGTAGATTTAAACGCAAACTTTGTGACATCAGCTGGAGTAACAGCTGAATCACTGAGCTTGGTCAGGAGGCAGAAGACATAGCATGGCTTGAAAAAGGATTTGTATTTGCAGCTTTGCAGTTTTGTGGGGCACAGTCACAGGGAAAGAAATGGCAAATTGTTCCTACATGCATATTACCTGGAGTTTATGGTCGAGCTAGTGAACTCACCTCCCAAGGCTGATGTCACATGTCCCCTAAAATTCCTGATGAAAAGGTATTGTCCCTATGTGAGTCTTCCAGCAAGTGCAAATAATGCTATTGCCTACGAGACCTACGACAGTTCCTAACTCCCAGAAAGGTGGTCCAATCTGGACCTGGAATTCCAGATGCATCAGGGAAGCAAGCATTTGTATCCCAAGTCAGAGCATGGGGGCCCCAGGACTCTGCCCTAACATTTTAGACCATCAGCTCTGTCATCCATAGACATGCTTTGGGTGCAAATCAGGAAGCAACATCAGGAAGCAGAAATGGCCGCTTTGCCTTCTCCGTGAACACCCCTGTCACGTGTGCTGGGGGACACGCATGGACCTCACTGGATGAGACCCCAATACTAATCAATCGGTGGCAAGTTGGCAAGGACGAACCATATCGTGAATCATTCATTTCAGAGTTTTCTTTAATATCAAGATCCCATGCAGATTCTTGAATGAGTCAATTACCAAAAGTTTGTTGCCTGCACAAAGCTTCAGAAATATGCAGAATATACCATAAAATCAGAGTATTTAGAACCCTGGGAAGATTGGAGCTAGAAGTGACCATAGGAATATCTTAGCCCAATGATTTTCAAACTCAAGTGTCCGGAAGTATCACCTATGACATCTGTCGCAAAGACTCCCATGTGTCTCCCCCAGATATTCCACCATGTGTCTTCCCTAGATATTTTGCTTCCACGGACCTAGAGTAGGCCCACCTTCATGATGACTGAGCTCCGTGGATCACACTTTGAAAACCCCAGCCCACTGTGTAGGAATCAGAAGCACAATGGCTTCAGTGACCCCTGGAATCACATGGAGGCTGGGCAGAACGGGGACTAGAACCCAGGGCTTTGATGCTCAAAACACTGACTCTATTTCAGTAACTGCTTTTCTGGAGTGCCTAGATGATTAACAGCTTCAACAACCAGAATATTTTGTCTCTAATTCTGATAAGCAATAATTATTTCCCAGAGGGTGGGGTAAATAGAATATAAGGTAGAAGATAAGGATATGTTATAAATTGGAAAAGAAGCCTCCGGTCCCATATTAATCCACACTACTTTGCTCTACACTAAAGACAATTGCATTTACTTTTTTTTTTTTTTGTCTTTGAAAGAAAATGTTGCAGAAGAAAATCAAATGAACGCCCAAGTCATGTTCCCTCAAAAAGGAATACCAGGCAAACTTTTAATGCAGATGATCCTGGAGCACTTTAATAGTTAAGTGGTCCATGATGATTTTTCTTAACATAGATCCTCATTAAAAGAGGAAGAGTAAGAGAGGGAGAGAAAAAAGAAGCTAAGGAATATCTTTGAAAACCAATGGATTCAATGCCAGTTCTTTTTCTTTTACTTAATTTTCCAGATATCTCAGCATGATCTGAATAAATTATGCTGACAATACCACAATATACATGATAAATCATCAGTGCAATGTTAGTGATATATTGCATGAAATGTAAATAATAACCAGGACTGCTAATTGGCTCGCTTCTAAGGAACAAAGCTCTGACCGCGTGGCTTTGCCAGTCTTGGCTCAGTCATTAAGCATTTCTGCTGGTAAGCTGTTTCTGATGATCTGGAGAGGAAAGCACAGCCTTGCAGATAAACCTTTGTGTGGAAGCTCTTCTGGCAAGAGCACGGCCTAGGAGAGAGCCCGTGGTGAGTCACGGGTGGCATTTCCTTGTCCCACCAGGGTGCCAGTAGACCTGGCCTTGCTTCTAGTGCAAAACTGCCCCCTCCCCGCCCAGGAGTGGCGAGACTCAGACAAGGAAAACCTCTTCAAGTCAGTTAAGTTGCTGAATCTTTCCCAAAACTCTTCTGACTCATTCTGATTTCTTTCTTTTTTTTTTTTTTTTGCTTTGATAACGATTTGATTACAACTTCATTTGACCAGCAACATAAGCTGTTTCTATGTGCTTCTTATTTTGAAAATACTTTGTTAGCATTCATCATATGTTTATGGAGCTTAAAAATATATTTTGTTTCCTTTTCCCAAACAAATCCTTCTGCTTTCTGACAGGGTTGAGCTTCTTATCTACAGTGTTCCCTCTGTGTCAAACAATGTCTCGGGAAAAAATAACCCGGGTGACGGTGGGCGTATTCATTCACTCACTGAGCACGCCAGAAGATGGTGTTGGGTCCTGAGGGGACACAGAGCCAATGACATGGCCCAGGTTCCCACTTTCAGGGTCTTACCTTCCGGCGGGGGGAGGGCAAGGAGAGAAGGAAAGAAAAAACACACACGTTAACCAATGGAGTTGAGATCATATTGGGTAGAACAATGGGATAGAGAGTAGCAGGGATGACAGGTGGCTTGAGGAGGCCTCTGAGAAGAGGTGACATTTGAGTTGAGACCCAGGGGACCAACAGGCCCAGTCATGCCCATAGCTAAGGAGGGTGTGTTCCAAAGAGACAGGACAGCATATACCAAGTCCCTGAGGCTGGAGCACTCTGTTGAGTGAGGAAGGAAGAGGGACACAGCGACTGAGGAACTGGTTTCTCAGTGTAGCCATGATTACCCCTCAGGGCACTACTTGGTGAAAAGAAAGCTTTCCTTCTGCCATGCCTAGGGTTCCTACACAAGACTCCATCCCCAAAGCTCCCACTTCATATGACACCTTCTATCAGCAGGACGGTGGCTTCCAAACCACCACCGATGCAGCCTGTCTTCTAACTCCTTGTGTCTGGGATTTGAATTTGTTCCCTCGTCAAACCTGCTGGCTTCCCTAAGAGCAGGGCCACTCTACTTGAAGGCTGGCCAGC